AGGCTGTCAGGATCAGGGGCCCCATGTCCTACAAAGGAGGAAAGTCCCATTGCAAAGGATTGAAAGATGCTAGGAAATCTGGAAATTTAAGTGGCAGGTCCTGGGGCCCAACTCCTTGCTATCAGCATGGTGTCCAGCCATCTCTGAATATCCTGCTCCCAACAAGTTACATGATAAGAACTCAGGAAAGATTCCCTAAACTCTCAGGGATTAACTTTCTCCACTAAGAATATAGCAAAATACTCCAGGTCAGTTCTTGTGGATGTCACCAATTTTATAAGGATCAAGAGCACCCTGCCATGAACCTTCTGTCCTGGAGTCAGCTGATTTCTGATGTGCCTCTGCCACATCTTATCCTTTACTCTTGCCACTGCTGCTGACTGAAAAGGGTATTTGCTCAGGAAGCTGCCAGCTTTTGCCTTTCTCCCAGAGAAGTGTATGAAACTGCAGTTGATCAACAACAGCTTTAAATTCTTCTTTCAGTGGTGCTCATCTCACTTCCTTGAGTTTGTTTCTGGGTTCTTAATTTACTCCCTTTCCTTGTTCTTTTATTTTCATTTTTAATACTTTCCCAGTAAAGAGGCAGAACAGAACCAAAGGGTTAGAGGATGAGAACGTGGAGCATGCCACCTTAGAGTATTGGCAATGCATTGCTTTGTCCGTCATTCTCCAAAGCCTGCTCTATCCCCTGGGCTGTCAGGAGCGGGATGGAGAGTTATGCTAAGGACTGTCACTCTTCCACACCCATCTGGTTGGTTTCTGAGCATAAGCACTTAACACTGCCAAAATCACAGTTACCTGTCAGTTTCACGTTTCCTCCTGCTACTCCTCTGCCTACATGTGTATGTGTCTTGAGAGAAGGTGTTCTTCTTGTGCAAAAGACTGCCAGTGGCCTTTTCCCCTTTTTAGTACCCAACTCAAGTATACACCTAAGACCTCACAAGTCCTGCGACATGGGAACTGGAGCATACAGGCATTACTCTTGATCCATGTATTAGGAAATATGAGCGCTATCTGTGTTTAATGTACATCTGGCAGACTAGACTGCAGTCTAAGGCCTTCAATAGGAATGAGTATGTGTACAACTGACCTCGGGTCAGAAGACCCTGTTCCTATAGTAGCAAATAGATCCAACCCTCCAGATCAGTTTCACCTGACCCCTAGAGAGCTTTTGGAAGGGTGTAGAGGCCAACCAAGACATAGCTACAGCAAGTGCTATGATTGGTTGATAACGTCTGCCATGCTCATGGGAGCAGGATATGGCCATCCTTAAATTCTGAGTCAGACAACTCTTCCCTAGTTGCATAAGGCTGTTGGAAAAGATCCACAGAACTAAGGAAGATTTTAGATTTTATTTTCATAGTAGAAGCAGGGCCCCTCAGTTGGAAAAAGGGTTGAAGAATAGAGGCCTCATAGCCATAATCGAGATACCTTGACCACAGGCACATTGAAATGCTCTTCCACTGACTTGTCTAAGGATGACAGCGTGTAGACGACTCCAGCCATGAGATTAKGTGATATTTTACTACTCAGGGAAACTCTAGGGCCCCATTTCCAGATTGGTATTATTCAGTGTTTCCCAGTAATCGACAGGTCTAGAGCCAGCATATTAGTACATTCTGTGTTGACAATGGACTTAACAGCATTGGACATAAAAGCCACAGCACATAATTTACATAATAACAGAAGCCTTACTGTAACCCCAAAGCACAGAGTTTGCCTCATGGCAAGGAGCCTTATCACGTGGAGTACAACTCAGCACTTCCCTCTGACTCTTCCATAGGAAATGGTTAGTCTGACCGCCCCATGTGGGAGGAAGAAGACCACAAATTCTTACACAAATATTTTCCTTGTGATTAACTTTTAATGACTTGAGCTTGTCTTTACTGGCTTATTTATGTTTCTTCATGTGTGTCAATAAAGATGAGATTAAGCAAGATCAGTGTAGAAACATTACTTAATTCAAAATTTTGGATGCATGAAATGCTATTCCTAGTATAAAAGGGGATTGTTTTCTCTAAAATTATTTTGGTTGAGTTTTTTTTTTTTTAATTCAGTAAACAAACATTTATTGATTACTTCTGTGTGCCCAGCAATATTCTGGATACATCTGTGAAACAAAACCCACAAAATAATCTCTGCCTTCAAGGGGTTGATGATTTTTCCCCTTTATTATTTCATAAAATTATATGTAAGCTGTCGGTCATTTATTACAATGTATTACTTTTTTTTTTTCAGTGGATTTTGGAAGATTATCTTCTTAGTTTGATCAGATGTGAGGTCCTATTTTCTGCAGGGTTTCCGATGTAGTGTTTGTTTTATTTGGCTGGAGTTGGAAGACTAGTTTGTAATAAGAGGTCTTATTAGTTTTAGGTTCTGTTTCTCTATTGTGGTGAACAAACTTCCAGAGAAAAATCAGAGCCTTTCATGTCAATTTTTTAGACTGCCTCCATTTTCCAAAGGAAAGCCTTCTGGGTTACATGTTAATCACATGCATGTAAGGGAAGTGGTTATTATACTATTTCAACTATGTAGGTATAAATTCTTTCCTCTCTGTAAGTCAGGATTTCTCAACCTTAAATGCTGTTCACATTCAGGGATTGTTACAGGTAATGATTTGTTGTGAGAAACTGTTCTGTAGATTGTAGGATGTTTAGCAGCATGCCTGGCCTCTGCCCACTGAGTGCCAGTGCTACCCTTCCACCCTGTATCACGACAGCCAAAAATATCTCCAGACAGTGCCTAAATGTCCCTTGATGGGGAACCATGATGTAAATGATATGATTGTGGAATTTAGGTTTACACCCTGTAATTACAGGTCAATGAAATCCCTGGGGTGGGGGGGGGCATTTGAGATAAGAATGGTTTCTGTCTGGTCTTTGTAGAAGCTTAAAGCAACTTTCCACCATGAAAGAGTTAATATAGAGTGAGCAAGATATTTATCAGTCCGATGAAGCAATATCAACAACAAATGATGGAAGGCCTTCAGTAAATCATGCCTTGGAGATATTTTGCATTTCCTGTTGAAAACTTGTTAAAGTCATTCATTTACCGTAAGTTAAAAAGCATGTTGGACACAGTAGACTATAAGTTAATCTCAGATGATTTATTAAGAAATATGTTCCAGATTTGGTGACCTCAGCTCCAGCAGTAGGCGGCTCATTTGCAAACATTCCCATTCTCAAGAACTGACTCTCGATTTAATGAGTATTTATTGAAAACTTGTACTTTTCGAGGGCTTCAGAATGATTTAACATTTGCTTCTGTGACCTGCTCCAGCAGAACAGTAGTGCTCAGAATGGTGCCCTTGGGAATCTCCCCGACCTATGTGGCAGCCCCCACATTGGTTTGCAAGATAAAATAGAAAAACTTCATAGCCCCAATTTTTTTCCTGTCCTGTGCCAGCTCTGCCCTCCCCAGTGGCTGCATGTTATTACACATGATGTCATGCATTTCTCATTTGACTCTGTGTTCCCAAATGGGCTGCTTCTCRGAGTTTTCGCAAGGCCATTCACTGCAATTTCTACCTACCCATCTGTCTACAGTTCGAAATAGACCATTTAACCACCTTACTTTATTTTTTGGAATTTTCTTCACTTCTCACATACATGCTAGTAAGTTAGAAAATGTAGGGCACACTGCTGATAAGTCACTGTAAGAAGGATTGGCCTTGAGGCAAAAAGTGAAAGAGAAATATAATGAGCTACGAATCTTTACTTATTTGGTTATGATTCATTGAGCATGTACTGTGTGCCAGGCACTGGCAATATAGCAATGAGGGGAATGGACAGGGCCCTGCTTTCCTGGAACTGGCAGTCCACTGGGCAATGGAACAAGTGAACAGGCCATATTTTAATATCACACCATAGGTGCCATGATGAGGGAAATCAAGACGCCATGGGAGCACTTAGGAAAAACACTATCCCAGCCTGGGGGAAGGTGGGGGGAGGGAATCAGAGAAGGTTATGCAGAGGAAGTGATGCATTTACTGGGAATAAAAGATTCCCTGCATATCCAAGAGGAGGGAGAAAGAGTGTTCAAGGCCGAGTTCTGAGGCCTGAAGGTAAGTGGAGGTAAAGAATGGAATCTTTGAGGAACTGAAATATTAGTCATGTTTGAGTAGAAGCATGTGAGACAGGAAGAGCAAAAATAAACAAGGAGGAAGGAACAAGGATGCTTCTCCAGATTCTGACTTGAGCAAGCTRGTCTTTGGAAGTACCATTTCCTAGGATGGGGATGCTTGGAGAAATGGGTTTGAGGCGGGTGGGATGACAGTGACTCAAGTTTTTAATCCACCACTAGCTCTAGAACATAGGAGTGAGGTTTGTTTTTTTTTTTTTTTTTAATATTTTTGAAGAATGTCAAAAGCTAATGGAAATTTGAAAAGTTAATTAGCAGCTTTAAATGATTGTATTACTGAGGGCTATCTTAGGCCTCTTAGGTTCTGGCAATTTTATTTCCCATTCAGTAACTAGTTCTTCATTTTGATTCTTGTTATTCTTTTGTGCTTGAAGAATGGGTAGCCGTGAGTGAAGAGGTCTGGTGAGTTTTAGGGACCCTATTCTGGCTTTTCCAGTACACCCAGGCCCTCTTTACAATTTCCTTTGCCATGATGGAAGTTTTTATTCTAGAATTGTTTATGGAGCATACATTATTTTAAAGATTACCTGAGAAAAGCATGATGAGAACCATTTGTGTGTAATATTATAGAATTTGAGGTGTGCAGGCCTCATTTGAGGAAGATTGCTACATGCTGAACACCATCCCTGTGCTGATCCTGTCTTCCAGGGGACATGGGGAACAAGTGAGATTGTGAATTAGGGACTGAGATTCCCGCTCACCATCAATCCCAGCTACTGCTTTTCTTCATGTCCTCCATAGGCCTAAAATATCCAAGGACGAGGTTGATAAATTATTCCTCTGTAGCATTAAAGCAACCCAGCAATGAAGGAGCATCCAAGTTCATGCATCTCCTTCCTGGTTTTTTTTTTTTTTTCCAGGAATTTAGATAATGGGCTGTGTGCAATGTAAGGATAAAGAAGCAACAAAACTGACAGAGGAGAGGGATGGCAGCCTGAACCAGAGCTCCGGGTACCGCTATGGCACAGACCCCACTCCTCAGCACTACCCCAGCTTCGGCGTGACCTCCATCCCCAACTACAACAACTTCCACGCAGCCGGGGGCCAAGGACTCACTGTCTTTGGGGGTGTGAACTCTTCGTCTCACACTGGGACCTTGCGTACGAGAGGAGGAACAGGTAAGCACCTACTGGGAGGGAGGGGGATAGYTGTCCTTAATTCTTTTGGCAACTGAACATACGTGTCCCAGTCAGCTCCATTGGACTAACACTGAAGACTCAGGTCAGTTTCCACCTACCCTCTACCAGATGAAGAGCTGTTATTAAAAAACCAAAGCTTGATGTACACATCAAAATGCCGGCGGGCGGGGGATCCCATGTTGCTGCTCTGTAGGATTCTGCATGAGAGAGATAGTGAGCTATGGCATTCTAGGCCCTGTAGCCAAGGGCTGTCAACCCTGGCTAGCCCAGAAGAGCCAGGGAAGCTTTTTCATAGTACAGTTGCCTAAGCGCCACCCCAGATCTTGGGAATCAGAAACTCCAGGAATGTGTCTGTGTGTATCTTGAATTCTCCAGAAATGAATCCACTTCCTCCCACCTCCCTCCACCGCTTCTGGTGGGATGCACCTTCTTCCTCATCTTCCTGATCTCCAGCTTGCCTGTCATTTCCTGGGCAGATGGGGTCATTTGGCAGCATGATATTTGATCATTCATCTCAATTCTATGATATTTCCATTATCTTCTGTATGACTGAGATTATCAACCCTCAAGTTTTTCCATGTATTTTTTATTCTGTGGTTTGTGTGTGTGTGTGTTTTAAAGACAAGCCTTATGTATCCTTAAGAGACAATTCTCTCTTTCTCCCCCACCCTCTCTCTCTCTCTCTCTTAAGTTTCTTTGTCTTTCACATCACACAGCTATATGATACTGCTATGTGTACTTGCTGACTTAGCTAATACTTTATAAAATATCTGGCTCACATTCTCAAACATATGTTTTCCAAAATATTTGTAAGTTATCTCATGCATCCTTAGCCTTCCAGATCTTTTCCCAGTATATGAACCATGGTAACTAGATACATGACATTATTTGTTCCAAAATTGTTTTATTACAGAAGTTTAAAAGAATGCAGCATCTCCCAGCTCATCTGGGAGCAGATGTCTTTGCCTTATATAATGACTCATTGTGCTTTTTTATCAGGGGAGTTTCCACTAACAAGGCATTAGCAGGGCTTCTCTCCCACCCCACCCCACTGCACCCAATACGTGGTAGTGTAGTTATTTCAGGGCATCTGACCCAAAGCCTTTGGACATTGTCTACTTCTCTTGCACTAGCATGTGATACTCTGCCCAACAGAAAAACATCTATGTTCACCCCTGTACTGCAGTGACTCTAGCTTTCCCTTTCCTCCAAGCCTTGTGTGGTACACTCACCCATCCCTCCTGTCTTCCCAGAAAGTCTCTAGAAAGAAGGGAAGAGTCGTGGACTGGCAGTCTAAAGCCCTATGTCTTTTGAGGATGCAGAAGAAAAGAAGAGTCAAAACTGCACCCAGCATGTACAGACCGACAGACAGACACATAGACAGAAAGACACATAACACACCTCTGCTGTAAGAAGCATGAGTGCTTTGCCAGTACAGACTTAATTCTGCCAACACAGGCACCATCCCTGAACACTCATTTATGAATCTGGACATGAACCCCTTAGTCTGCAGGTACCATTAGGTGCACAAGAAAGGATTACTTGCTTCTCATATGTACGTGTACACTGCAGTCAGGGACGACCTTAGTCTAAGAGGGCATCTGATCTCTTATCCCCAGATGTGGCAGATTTTCCTGCCTTGTATTAATTGGTTGTGCAGTCCTTTCTCCCAGTGCTACTTTTAGTCCCTTAAGGCCAAGAACAGTATCTGCATTTCTCAGTAACCTCCTTCAATTCCCTCCTCAGTCCCTAGGATATTAAAAACCTTCAGTAAGAACTTGTCAACTGATGCAAGGAGAGAGTGGGAGGGTCCATCTCCTTGGGCCTTCTTTGGCTTCCACACAGCAGAATGGCTTGGGTCTGTTGTTGTTGTTGTTTTCCCCTTTGTGTTTTAATTTCTGCATTATAGGTGTACATACGGATGGGATCTGTTGTTACATAGTCAAACATGCACACAATATAACAATATAATTTGTCTAATATCTACCCCCAGCACTTCCCCCCTTCCTCCTGCCCTCCCACCCCTTGGTCTCTTTCCTCCATTGATCTCCCTTTGATTTCCATGAGATCCACCCCCATCTTTCTTTTTTTCTTTCCTCTCTAACTTTTGCATATGAGAAAACATATGTCTCCTGACCTTCTAAATTTGATTTATTTTGCTTAACATAATTGTCTCTAGTTTCATCTATTTTCCTGCAAATGACATAATTTCATTTTGCTCTAGTGGGTATATACACCACATTTTTTTTACCCATTCATCCGTTGATAGACACCTAGGCTGGTTCCATAGTTTGGCTGTTGTGTACTGTGCTACTATAAATATGGGTCTTCATATATCACTGTAGTATGATCTTGGCTCTGTTTTTAAATATATACTAAAGAGAATCTGTTAGTAGAGTATTAAATAAGAATAAGCATGAACTTAGAGGCACCCACATATTTGTTTGAAGCCACTCTCTTTTCTCAGCAAGCACTTTACCACTGAGCTACATCCAAAGCCCCCAAGCCATTCTCTTTTCTAACCTTTTAAAGTAATCAGAACAAAGAAACCAGTTGCCCAGTAAGCCCTTCTCTGTATGGTCAGGCCATCTGAGTACCGACTCTCCAGCAGTTAGTCCCACCTGGGATGGGGTGGAAAGATAAGTCCTTCCACTCTGTCTGACTCTTGTAAGTCTCATGGACACATCTGTTCCCTTGGAACTACCTACACAGCAACATGGCAGCTTGGTAAAAGAGCAGGGAATATGCCATCAGGCCATAGCAGGCACTTTGAAGTGTGTGGAGATCCAAATGAGAAAACAGGTCTCAGAGAAATGAAATGTTTTAGTTATCAATTCTTTAGTAAAATTATCACAAAATTTAGTAGCTTATAATAATACGCATTCATTATCTCATGGTTCTTGTGGATCAGGATCCAGGAATAATTTACCAGAGCCCCCTGCCTCAGGATCTCCCCCAGCTGCAGTCAGAGTGTGCTGGCCAGGCTGTAGTCAGCTCACAGTTCACCTGAAAGTGATCTGCTTCTGAATTCATGTGGTGTGGTTATTGGCAGGTTCTGTTCTCCRGCTGCTAGCCAGTTCTTTGTCAACATGGTCTTGCCAACATGGCACCTGGCTTCATCAAAGTGTCCAAGCTGATATAGAAAGAGTGTCTTCTAGGAAGATGGTGTCACCATCTTCTCAACCCTCATCATTTAAAGGGCATCCCATCACCTTTGGGCATTCTCTTGGTTAGAAGCAAGTCAGTAGGTTCAATCCACACTCAAGGGACAGGGATAGCACGAGGGCATGAGTACCAGTGGCAGTAGCCATTAAGAGCCAGTGAGTACCAGTGGCAGGAGCCATTAAGAGCCACCTTAGAATTCTGCCTATGGTATAAAGTAAGTCATGGGCCAGTGGGAGTCTGGGCAATTTTTGCTGTTGTTAATAAACTTCTGCAAGGCAGAATGGGCCTCTTTGGGGAGCCTCTAGATGAGAAGACATAGAATGGGTGAGTACTATAAGACCGTGGGAGGTGAGGAGAGTGCAAGGAAGGAGGAGGCCAGGGAGAGAGCAGTGAGTATCAGCAGTGGGGCCAGGCAGCTCAAATCTACAAAAGCAATTGTGGATGCCAAGGGCAGTGTACCCCTCATTGGAGTGAGCATTACAGAACCTAAGCCACAGAAAGAGTTTTCTGTTACACGCTACATGACTATTATGCCATGGTAAAGAGTGACCCAGTTTACCCAGACTTAACTTGGGCTCCCAAATAGAGGAGAATGTGCATGAGAGAAACAGTGCCAGCCCTTGCTGCAGAGTCCTGCTCATCTGAACCATAATGTTGCTGCTGCCCTTGGACATGACGTTAGTATCTGACTCTTCCCCAGGGCTCATTCAAAGGTATGCAGAGAGAAGTCCTCCAGCTCCAGGTTTTTGTCACATCAGATAATGATCCCCTACAACAACCAAGGCATAAATTTGATCCTGTGCCTCTGGTTTTCCCACATTAATTATAACACTTCATCACATTATTGAGACTGACTAAAGGTAGATTTTGAGAATGAGATTTGAGCAAAGACTTAATTTTTTAGCATTAATGTCCCCTTATGTAATGATCTCTCTCCTTCTTTTATCAGGAGTGACACTATTTGTGGCTCTTTATGACTATGAAGCACGGACAGAAGATGACCTGAGTTTTCACAAAGGAGAAAAATTTCAAATATTGAACAGCTCGTAAGTTGGGGATGAAAGGGGAAAGCATGCATGCCTTTCAGATTGGGAAAGGGCTCTCRTGTGCAGCCTGTGCCTTGTCAAGTGCCAAAAAAGGTAAAAAGAATGACTGAGAAATTCACTAGTTCAAAGCTATGTAATTTGAGAAAAGAGCTGAAGGCACAGTTTAATGCTATGTAATGCACTATGTTTATATTTCCTACATTTTTTCTTATATTTCACCACCATTTTTTAAAAGCATGCAGTTTGCTAAATTTTCACAAATGGAGCATGCCTGTGTAACCAGCCCCCATGTATGTTCAAGAGGCTTTCCAGAAGATGTGAGAGTAGCACAGTCCACGGTTTGGGGTGTGGGTTTTAGTTTAAAGGTTGAAGGTCAGGCACCACAGTGCACATCTATAACCCCAGCAGCTTGGGAAACTGAGACAGGAGGATGGCAAGTTCAAAGCCAGCCTTAGCAATTTAGCAAGACCCTAAGCAAATCAGCAATACCCTGTCTCTAAATAAAATACAAAAAAAAAGGGGGGGGCTGGGGGTGTGGCTTAGTGGCTGAGTGTCCCTGGATTCAATTCCTGGTAGGAAAAAAAAGAAAAAGAAAAAGGTTGTAGAAGCAGCAGCATTACCTTCCACTATCCCTGGCACTTCTCTCTCAAATGGTTGGCACATGACTTGGCCACCCACATAACATACTCTCTATCATGAGATTTTCTACACATTTCGGATGTCATACTAGCGAAGCCCTCACTTAGGGCCAGCAACAAGTTCCTTCTGTTTTCACAACTGCAAAACAGTCCGATGGGTAGGGCCCATGGAGGCGTTCTCCCATAATGAAAATCTTTGTGAGGCAAAAGAAGCAACAATTCCACCCTCTCAGTGAATGACTACAAGGCAGGCTTTTAAAATGTGGCTCCTAGGAACAATGGTTAAGCAGGGAGTGAGGGAAGTTAAGAGTGACACTTACTTCTCAAATTTGACCCTTAATACTTCTATAAGCAAGAGTAAATATGGGTCCCATTTTCCTAGGGTTTTTAAATATTATCTCTATTAGCTCAAGGCAGTGTGCACAGATGAGAGCCCTCCAGAAAATTCCAGACTCCTTAGAATATAGTGGTGTCCCTCATCAGCAAGCCAGGTACCCCAAGTATTCCCATGAGCTCTCTCCAGTGGTTAGGAAAGATTGCCACCTGGGGGCCAAGGGGTGGGTACACCAGGAGCTTATCCCATGCCACCATGTCTGGTTGCTTTTGCATCTTCTCTGCTCTCTGAGCAAGCTGGATTTTGTGGTGGTAGAAGGACTTAAAGCCTGGCTCCTCAGCTTTTCCAAAAGATGAGCATGGGGAGGTGAGAGGGAGCCATGCTCACACCACACCTCCCCTTAGACCTGGACACTCCCTTTAGACCTCCTTGGGAAAACTCACCCCTCCCTTAGATGTGCCCCAGTTCTCAGGACTATACACTAATAACATGCCACCTTTCAACAGCAAGAACTGAGTCCCTCCATGAGAGGCCAATAGCTCTTGTCTGGACATCAGAAGACACTGTCTACATAGCCAGTAGCCACAGGGTTTTTAAAAATTACTATTATTGTCATCATTCACAAAGGTGTGGATGCATTTGTTTGTTTTTTACTTAATGATATACATGCAGAAAAGTACACAGGTGGACAATGTACTTGGCAATAGTTGTACAACAGGGTGAATGTGCTCACTGGCACATAATTTTACACTTAAAATGGTTCAAGGAATATATTTTATGTTTCCTACATTTTTTCTTATATTTCACTGCCATTTCTTAAAAGCATGCAGTTTGCTGAATTTTCACAAGTGGAGCATGCCTGTGTAACCAGCTCCCAGGTCAGGAATATTACCTGCCCCTCCTCCCCCACCGAAGACCTCCTCCTGTAGCCACAGGAATTTGTTTAAAATAGTAAACAGCTGCCATTTATTGAAGGCACCTTATGTGCAGGCCATGTGCTGAGCTACAAATGCTCTCATTTATTCTTCAGAACAACTGTCTGAGGTATGTGTTATCGTCATCCTGAGATATCTGAGGAGTAGGAGGCCCAGGTTAGGGAACTGCCCAAATGCAGAAAGCTACTAGGTGGCAAAGCCCAGGCTGGGAGGGAGGTGGAGGCCACATCCTGAGTACAAGGTCAGGTGTGACCCTGGAAGGACCCAGATACCCCCACCAAAGGCAACTCAACCACCCAAGTTTCATGAAGGTTTAGAAAGTTGGCTGAGAGGTGAAGAGGAGGGAATTTGGACTTAATTTCTTCTGGTTTCTGATTTTTTATTGTTAGTTTGATTCTCAGATGAATGCTTCTTGTCAAAATCTATTTACTTTAAATTCTGAAATACGTACCACTTCCCCTCCCCGGTTTATACAATATTCCCTAAATGGCAAGACTGATTACAAATGTAAAACTATTTGTAAATTTAAAAGGTAAGAACCAGGAGTAGCAGGAAGCACCAAGTTACACCCAGCTCTGCTGGCCAGGGGTTCTCCACAGTGCTCATGGGTCTGCATCAAGTTACAAGGGCACTTGCAAAGTCAGTCCCTATCAAAGTCAAATTCATGACTTCTTCTTTGTTAAAATTTTTTTAAATTGTAGATGGACACAATACCTTTATTTTATTTGTTTATATTTATGTGGTGCTGGGGATTGAATCCAGTGCCTCACGCATGCTAGGCAAGCACTCTACCACTGAGCCCCAGCCCCAGCCCACGACTTCTTCTTTGTTAATCCAGAAAGGATCTACTATATCATCAAACTGAATTTTGGAGAAATATTTAAGGGGTGGCGGGAGAGTCCAGTCTGTATTTTGTGATTTTCATGCATGGCCTTTGATGTTTACAGAGGCCTGTTGGTCTCTGACCCTGTTCTCCTAGAAGAAACCATTACAAAGGTTTTCTCCCCTTAATGTTTTTCCCTTTTACTAGTGAAACTCCTCATCCTACATGCCATTTAAATGCCCTTTTGCAAGGTTATGGAAAAGAAAAATAAGGTTTGAGTCAAGGCTAATAACAGGGAAGAGAAAATCACGAAGGAAAAACAAAGCCCTGACTGAGGCAGCCGGAGCACTCCCCCTCTGCAGGCCTCCTGCCTCTGGCCCCTCCCTCACAGAAGAGGGACGGGAGGCTCCCTGGACAGCTGCCATACCTCCCACTCCCTAGCCCTGTCAAGAGGCAGAGACTGGAGGCCACACAGTTTGGAATGTTGTTTTTTGTTTTTTCATTTAGGGATTCTGCAATACTGGGGGTCGAACCCAGGGTCTCACTCACTCTAGGCAGGTGTTCTACCACTGAGCCACACTCCCAGCCCAGGTTTGTTTGACAATGCAGCGCCCACCATAGGATGGGTGTGTGCAGATGTGCCCAGAAGCAGAGGCACTGCTGCCCAGCATGGGCAGGGCACTTGACTGACCTGTTGTTAAAGCTCCGTGTGGTGTGTTGGGACATTATTGAACTTGAACCTATTTAGCAAAATACTTAAGTGCATCCATTTTATTCCCTTTTTTCACATTTCATGACCAGTGATATGCCCAGCGATATCTCAAAACAATGACTCTTTAAAATATGTATAATATTTTACACAGAGTGAAGTAGTGGTCATTGCCTAGGGCCTCTTTACCAGTGTTTTATGTAGTGATCAGAAGAAAACCTGGTTTAGAGCCACCCCGCCCAAACATTTGATAAAATTATTATGTCCTCTGAAAGCAAGATGGGGAATGACCAAATTTAGAAAGAATCCAGCATTTTTAATAAAAATACTCAATGGCTGGGCAGATCCCACTGACTGCTGTTGGCAAATACCAATTCCTGACTCCATCAGGGCTCCAAGGTACCTGGGCTCCCAGATCCTAGGACAAGTCCTGTTAGCATCTTTGGGGATTGGGGAATAGACTCTTTTAATAAATCCTTAAACCAGAGGAACTGGTGGGTTGTTATAAAAAGTTAGAAGCCAGCACCAGGTTTAAGTAATACATTTGAATCAAAACAATATAACCATTAAAGAATAGCTCACCAAGTGTGAATAAATTGAAAAAAAAACTGAACTGTAAAAATAGTTTAAAGCAATGCAGCTTTAATAATGCCAGTTGCCCAAAATAACCCAATTAAAGAAATAAAAATACTGTGTGAGAGATCCTGTTCTCTTAAATCAAATGCAATTTGTGGAGTGTATTATTTATTTGTAGGTGAATTGTATTTATTCACATAACTCCTGATAGACATTACTGAATCTGTACCAGACCCTTTGGGCCCAATGTGAATAATCATGAAGCAAAAGTAATAAAAAATGTGAGGCTTATTTCATATACATTGAGTCTTGTCACCTCATGGTGGTGAAAGTGACCCTAATGGTCTAGAAACAGAGAAATCAAAGATGGTATCTTTCTTCTGAGTAACTGAAAGCCCTTGTGAGATTAATGGGGTCACATAAGGAAGTCATAAACCCTTCAGATATGGCTTTCAAATGAGCCAATAGTTGGATTCTAATCTATTCTAAACTATTTAGGTGCCTAGACCAAAATGAGATAGTTAATGCTGAATCTGAATTGGAAATTACTTCATTATTGCCAAATCACCTGAATAAGACTGGGCTTCTCCCAATTTGCAGTGAAATATATTGGCTTCCTGCACCCATTGACATTCCCACATGACCCTGATATTGATGCTAGCTTTTTTTCCCCTTAATTTAATACTATTAGAACTAACCTGATGAAAGTTGTGGTGTATTGAAAAATAAGCCTGTGCTACAAGCACTTAATTTTTTCCTCGCCATTTTGGAGCATTTCCCAGGTTGAAGAATGTGGGGGGGTGTTGGGGGGAGGCAGGGGCGGGGATGATGTTGTTTGTTTTTTGTGATGAAATGTCTCCATCTAGTGGAATTTCAGAGCAGTATACGTTGTCACTATATTAGAAGGAAGACTATCTCCAGAAGCCATTTCTTTATCCATCCAATATTGAAAGAAGAAAATAAATTTCTGCATATGTTCTTAGGTGATAGGCTTATAATGTATACATTCAAAGACAGGGATACATCACACAGAGAAGTTGCATGGTGTAGAGTCCACACACTTGGTAATAATCTCCAATTCTTCAGTTGGGCAGTGAGTTCACATATTCTTTGATATGTATAAAAATTTCATAATAAAAATCTGGACATGAGCTGGTTATAACGTTAAAGGAGTTTCTGATGTGAGAACCACACAATCTCCCTCTTTTGATTCATCTATGTGTTTAATAGGGTTTTAAAAGAGAGATTGAGAAACTAATTAAAAGATTCGTTTTAGAAATCCTTGGCAGCACCCTGGTTTTCCATGAGCTGTTCTATAATTTATGCAAACACTTTCCCACATCTGTACCTGGCTTGGCTTGTGCTTAGGGGTTCATCTTTAGAGAACACTGAAGGAAGACTCGGGTCTAATATGGAGGCTGGTTAGTTTCTACCTAAGTCAGTCTGGGGAAGATCTTTACCCCAGCTCAAAGCCAAAACACGTTCTTTCCTGAGAGCTTTGACACAAAGCCCAGCCAAAAGTTAAAAAAAAAAAAAAAAAAAAAAAAGACCTACGATTTCTCCTGCTATCTTCAAGGACCAAAAAAAGATGAAGAGAAGGTGCTGGACCTCTGATGGTCAGTCTGAGAGGTCTGATGTACTCACAGGCAGTCATGTCCCCTTCTACCCTCACTTGCTTGACTGCGGGCTAGTGGGGGGACACTCTTCCAGTCCGAGATGCAGCCCACACACATGGCCTGTCACCCATGCATTGTTTATTCATTTTGCAGTACTAGGGATCGGATCCAGGGCCACTCTACCACTGGGCTACATGCCCAACCCTTTTTACTTTTTATTTTGAGACAGGGTATCACTCAGACACCCAGGCTGACCTCGAACTTGGGATCGTCCTACCTCAGCCTCCTGAGCTACTGTGATTACAGGCGTGGCCACACCCAGCTCACCTGCTGTTAATGGGAAGAGGCACACACTCCATCCCTGTTCTTAGTCTCCTGTAAACCTGTGTGAATTTAAGCATATGAACTTAAACTGTTTCATTTACTCAGTGACTCTAAGCTAATAGTAATGTCCTCTGAGAGCTCCTAGAATATCAGTTTGTTCCCCGCAACGGTGAGAAACAAACTGATATGACTAAAAATCTCACTCCCTAGAAGTATTGCACTTTGCCTGCATGTGCCCACGGCTGCGTCCAGCAGCCCTCACCCACCCAGGACCGTGAATATTTGATGGAATAACCTAAAACTGAAAATGCCTGGGGAAGACCTGTTCTATTGCAGTCTTGATCATTCTACGTGTAGAAAGATGCATCTCCTCATTTCCTAGAGGGTGGGCAAGACAGGTATCCAGAGCAAGCATGGAGCAGAGATGAGGCCTCCTCATAGTCTTCCCTCCCCACACCATCCGCAGCTGAAATGCTTTTCTAGAGTGGGCTGAGGCTGGGTTCCCTTCCCTCTCTCCAGCTGTGTCTCTTCACAGGCAAAATGTGCCCCCCAACACACACACAAAAGAGCCGTCTCATGACTAGATCCTACATTCATTTTTATTATATTTATTTTTCATTTTATTTATTTGTGTGTATGCCTGTGTGCTGGGGATTAACCCTAGGGCCTTGTGCACTCTAGACAAGCTGAGCTTCACCCCTACCCCTGAGCCCTGCTTTCTTAATTCACAAATAAGGCAGGAGAACACAGGTTTCCACCCATAAGTGATTGAGATGGTAAACTATCACACTTTCGAGGGTAGGAGCTATGTTGGAGTTTAGAGAAAAGGAGTGAGGCTGGAGAAAGCGGATGACACAAGGACTAGGTGATAGGCTTCTTACATCATCAGGTCTACCTGCAAAACGTTGAAATGGGCAACATATTCACTTCCCTCTTTTTTCTTCACAGGGAAGGAGATTGGTGGGAAGCCCGTTCCTTGACAACTGGAGAGACGGGGTACATTCCCAGCAACTATGTGGCTCCAGTTGACTCTATCCAGGCAGAAGAGTATGTTTTGGTTTTTGTTTTATTTCACTTAACTACTTGCTTTAAAGAGTTGCCAGAATAAAATGCCATTGACTTTGTGCAGGATGGAGAAGAATTTCACCACAGGGATTAAGCCTTGAGAGAACATGGTAATACTTTATGCCCTGGTTTTTGTCATAGCTACATAATACTTGTATTATTATTAACTTAATGTTTTCCTTTAAGCCTGCCCACTTTTTAGGTTACATCTATTTTGAAAGGAAACCTTATGTCTGTCCCCTAAATGAAAACCCACTATAACTCATAGATTTTTAAATAACCATAAAAATAGGACAAAATTCTAGCCACAGCATTTATTATTGCCAGTAATATATGTTGGCCTATAGTCTGCTTCCTGGGACAGGGAGAGACAAGGAATTATTAAAGATTAAACCAAGATTTTTTTTTTCTCCTCAATGTAATCAGAACTATTAAAAGAGTGCTGAAAAGATATACCTTCCATGCATCTCACATACAGTATGTCCCATAGCTTGGGAGGATGATGGATTTAAAATATTTCTTTCCTTTGACTGGGATCCCAATTGTTTTCATTGATAGTAATGACCAGTTATTGATAGTAAATGATGACAATTTTTGGCTTAAATAGTCCAACGGTAGCAGTTTAGCAAGATGGTCAGTAGGCTGAAGGTCAGTGGAAGGAGGGATGACTACTGTTCTTTCCTGACCTGTGGAGGTGAACAGGCAGTTGTGAAGGGGAGACCTGCCAGAGTGGCAGTGTGCCAACCATAGCTTCTGATCTGAAGGAAGGGAGGTGGGGCCATGATTGCTCACACAGGGAACTCAGCCTCCTCCCCAACACCTTGGGGACTTGCCTCACCAGAAAGGGAGTGGAGGAAAGTCAGTCACTGAGCCCAACCTTTGGCTCTGATATTTAATTTTGCCGTGGATTTGTTTAAGCACTGCAAGGAGGATTAAACTCTATACCCTAGCCAAATCCCCAATTGGATCGTTCTCTTGGCTTTAACTCCCTTGTATCTCTTCTACTAAGAAGATCTGTTTTGTTTTCCACTCTCAAATAGTCAGTGGTTCTGAGCTGGTTTTTTTTTTTTTTTTCTCCTAATAAGTGTGTTTCATCATCGGTGAACAAAGGTATTTGTATTGAATTTTGATTTTAGGGCAGATTTGCAAACATCTTTGTGTTCTTTCAGAATAAAAAGGACTACTGAAAGGTAGCGTTACTTTGATTTAACTGGGAACCTACTGGCTAAAGATTTAAGGTATATTTCTAATGGTCAGGTTTTTTTTAACATTTTGTTTTTAAAGAACAAATTTAGACAAAAAAAAAAGCTGTGGTTTTACATGTGCAATTAATTAGCATTATTTCAAAATACTACAGTTCAGGTGCAATCCATTGTTCTAACAAGTCCCTTTTGACCACTGTTTTACACACCATTTTAATTGGGTTATTGATAAAAACTCAGAAAGACATTTCTCAAAAATAATTGGTGTGTGATATTCTTCACACCAACTAGTGCTAGGTTAGGGATTGTCACCYACTTTGGTACCTCTGAAGTCACTGAGGAACTCACATGTGCTGTGTCTTATCTTCAKTGAAGCACTCTCATTCACAAAAGAATTTGACAATGAATATATAATAGCTGTGTTCACGTATAATGAGCTGAAACTTCATTTTAAAAACTGGGTCCTTTTACAGTCAAATATTCGAAAAGTTATTCCTACGCAYGGATTCCCGTGGAATGCTCCAGAATTCTCCCTTGGGTTCTTGAAGCACCCGCCACTATTTCAGCACCTAGCGCTGACATGTGAACTAATTGCCAGGCAGCGCGAGGGCTTGCGAGTCCTGGGAGAAGAGAGAAGACAAGAAACTGAGGTCCTGACGTGCCTTGAGGTGGTGCCTCCTAAAGTGGCACAGAAGTGTCATTAATTGGTTCCCAGGGAGTATTAAAATGTCTACGTCACCAAGTCATCTTTAAGGACATGCTCCCTGTGCAGTCACTGTCCCTGCAGCTGTGCCAAAGGGGAGCTGTGCAGATCACAGACCAGATGTTCCGTGGACTCCTTCTTTCTACTTATCCAAGTCCTCACACCTGCTTTATAGGAAGAGAAAAACAAAATGAGTGTCCAAGGGCAGCAGTCATCTTAAATCAGGGGCAGACTTAACAATTTTTTTCGGAGTTCCTGTAGGTAGGAAGTTACTGGAAGTATCATACATTTTTATTCTTTATTCTTTCAAAGTGACTTTCTTAAAAAAATAAAATAAAACCAAGCTTGATTAATAATCTTTCTATACACCAAGTCTGTGTTTTGTTATTTCCCAGGAGTTGTAATTATGCTCCAAAATCAAGGGTCTCATAACTGAGCGTGGGAAGCATCTCCTGCAGTTGCCATTTCAAAGCAAGGTCTTAGATTTCTCTTTCCATGCACCCAGGTGGCAGTTTTAACACAAGCCAGTTCCTGTCATCCTGGCGGGAAGGAAAACAAGTCACAATTCACAGCTGACTTTTTGAGAGTGAAAGAGATGGAGTAGAGATAGAATCAGGAATAGATTAAAAGAGAACTTCATAAAGCTAGAAAAATATATTATGGGGAAAGGCTAAGGGTATAATTGCAGGTGAGGGGCTTCATAGGGAAATAAAGACCACACTGTCCATCTTGTAGATGACCATCATTAAGTATGTTCTCTCCTTTGATTTCACTTAAAGGTGGTACTTTGGAAAACTTGGCCGAAAAGATGCTGAGCGACAGCTTTTGTCCTTTGGAAACCCAAGAGGTACCTTTCTTATCCGCGAGAGCGAAACCACCAAAGGTAAGATAACAAGTTGAAGAAGTTGGCTTGTCCTTCAAATCTGCAGATTAGTCAGAGGGGATGAAAGGCTTATCTCTAATGTACAAGGATTTTTAAAATGGCACAGATCCTCCCTGCCTTGTGAATGGAGTCCTGCTTTCAGTTTTTCCTCTAGGCCCTAGAGCTKCAGACCGCTCCAAAAGAACTACAGAGGATCAGAATCAAGACTTCCTCCTGAAAGCAGGTGCTGGGCAGCTTTCTTGCTCCAGGCCCACAGATCACAGGGTTTCAGAAGTTTTTTAGAATTATGATTTTTTTTTCCTCAGGTGCCAGTCATACAAGTTGTTTTTGACCTCTTCATGGTTTTTTTTTTTTTTTTTGCTTTTAATTTTTGTTATTTTTGTTTTTGTTCTTTAATAACTGAGGACTTCTCTTCCTTTTTATTATTTATCAACTCATTAGAACCCATAAGAGGAGATAGGTCAAGGGGGAAAAAAGTAGTGGCCTTCAGGTTTGGTCTTTTGGATACTGCTTATCTGTTCCTGTCAACTGCTGTGAAGCAGAACTTTGAAGCTCACTTCTAGAGAAACAGCCCTTCAATTTGTTTTATGCAGACTTTCCCTATCTTCTACCATACCTCATAGGAGAGGATCCCTGGGATGCAGGCTCGGCTGGGAGTCCTTGTTCTTCTCTTGATCTTGCCTAAGGGGTCTGCTCGGTATGAAACTACATACCAAATAGAGTATGTTAGAAAAGTATCCAGGAAGCTTCCAGGCTCCAGGGCAGAATCATTTTATTTGTTAGTATCTTTTGACATTTGCAGGACACCAAAAGTTGTCTTTCTCCTGTTACTTAGTGGAGATGTCATGTGTATGGATATATATGTATGTTCCCTTAATAACTATTAATTGCAATAGTCAAGTAAAAGAGACCTAAAAAAAAAAAAAAACAAACTAGTACTCAAAATGATTGGCACTGCTAACGCTTTGCACATTTGCCAGGTGCCTATTCACTTTCTATCCGTGATTGGGATGATATGAAAGGAGACCATGTCAAACATTATAAAATTCGCAAACTTGACAATGGCGGGTATTACATCACCACCCGGGCCCAGTTTGAAACACTTCAGCAGCTTGTACAACATTACTCAGGTAACTTTGATTCTAACTACCTACTAACCATTYAGGAGCTAAGGGAGTGGGAGGTGCAGAGCTCAAAGGGAGAGTGGGAGAGGGGAAAGGAATGACAACCATATACAAAGTCACTGGTAGAGCCAGTTTTCCTCCCCAACCCCTTACAGGAGGGTTTCTGAGTGGCTCTGGGGTTGTCATCCTTGAGCTGTTATTATGATTGCGTGTGGCTGTCAGTAGATTCTGTAATGTTCTAATTCCCCAAGTAGAAGTAGTAGGTTAAATCTTAAAAGTTGTCTGTGTGTTCAACTTCATTTTCAAATTCTTGCAAGTTACCTTTTCCCATTCCCTCTATTATGGAACTTAGAACTATGAAAAGAAGAGGGCGTGGTGGCTGGGAGGGTACTTTTATGGGGACTACAGCAGGGAGCATTGGGTTCCTGCTGTCATTTTACACTCAGAACTGCTGTGGGACACCTGCACATAAATTCCGTACTCCTGATGGGGTAACTAGGTTTGTACTTACGTGACCCACAGTTCTTAGACCTATTACATCCACTGCATTGAACTTTTCAAAATTACATTAGTCTCTGTCCTAATACCCAAGTGTCATCATTATTTTGTTCTTCCTTATTTATTGTTCTTTCTTAATTATTAGGTGTATTTAGGTGTGCAGCTTGTGCATTTTATTCAAGAATGTGGCTTTTATGTGCAATTGTTAAAATGCTTTCTTCCCTTGGTTTGTGAGTGATCCCACCATTTTGTACATTCACCTGATATAGATATAGGTATACAAGTACAGGTCTCTATCTACACATCTCTATGTGCACCTCTCTACATTTCATTGAGCCCTGGAGTTTTTTATGTGACCCATGTATGCATTTTGTATCGTTCTTCACAACAATGACATGATTCCAGAACAGTATGATTTGACCTCTGCTGTTGCTCTATGCACATTCATTGAAAAGTACATTTCTTAGCATGAAATAACAATCTTTTGAAAATGACTGTAAGAAATATCTATATATTGATCCTGGTCACTAATGAGAAATTTAAAAAATTCACAACACCTGGAGTACTAGTTGATTCAGGCCTCGGCTAACTTGGTTTATGTGGATTCTAATGAAATATTTGAGAGAAATGGAGCAGAATATCTCCCTGAGCTTAAGTGATATACTCAAAATGCCTGCATGTTGTAAGGATTTCAAATGTTGAAATATATTTCATTACAGCGAAACATCAGCAGGATCCCTAGGGTTTGGATCATTTGAAAATACTGTATTGGAAAGGGCACCTTAATAATATCATAAAGCTGGAAGGAGAGAAGGGATATGAAGAACAATAGACATTTTTTAATCTCAGGGAAAAAAAATCCATCTCAAGTTAGATTTGTTTTTATATTGGCTTTTCTTCTCCTTCCTCTTCACACATAAAATGCCTTCGAAATATTGACACATAAATAATTTCCTGCCTAAATATCTCAGAACCTGATTCCATCAAAAAGAAAGGAGTAGAAAGTTACAGTTAGATTTCAGAGAAAAATCAACACCATGTTTGCTTTTCCTGGATCTGAGAGGCTTCCAGGGGATGGGAGGGGCTCTGTACAGTTCTTGTCCTTCCCCAAGTTCTTATTCTGTGCTGCCTCGTCTCACCTGACTGATTTTTAACACGGTGTTTTGTCACTTTCCCCTCAACATTGCTAGATCCTAAAAGGTATTTTCTTTTTAAAAAGAAAGAAGGGAGGAAAGAGCTCCCAGTAACATCTGAGTGATATAGCTGAGTGTTTTCCTCCTCTTTCACATCATTCAGTTTCTGTGAATGTTAGTTTTTCCATTCTTTCTCCTTTCAATCCATACTCCTAACTTATACAGAGAAGACTGTTATAAAAGTTTTAAAAAAATAAAAAAAACAGCATAGAAGCAGTGCAAGTATATTTGACTGGTAGAATGGAGTCTGAAATCTCTGGACATGTGGCATCCTTTCCTCTGCCAGGGGCAGCCTTCAGCCTTGCTAGATCCTCTATGGGAGGATCTCATACTGAAGTTAAGATTTTAAATGTACTCGTACCAGAGAGCCCTCCAGTCCCCTAGGTAATCTAGATACTAGTGAGGGAAAGAGATGGTCATGCCAACATTCGTTAGTCTAAATGTCCTCTTTGAAATCAGGGAGAGGATTTTCAGGATCCCAGAAGACATGTTATGAGCACTTTAGGCTGACAGTGATTTTCTTACTTGTGAGTACAGAGACCAAAACAGTWTGTCTCTATCTCTATATAGACTATATCACACCTGGGGGCACGGAATAGTTCAAATTTAGTATGTCGCCTGTCCTATCTGCAATGAGAATGATTCACGGTGTGGCTTTGGATCCTCCAAGGTGTGTGCCGTTCTGTGCTGAGCAGCCCTGTCCAAGCTCCCCTGGGCGACAGCAAGTGTGGGTTTGCATCTGTGCGTGTTGTTGTTACATGTGTTCTGCTCTTCTCTCCCACTCTGCCGCTGCCCCTGCTCCTGCATCAGAGAGAGCCGCAGGTCTCTGCTGCCGCCTAGTAGTTCCTTGTCACAAAGGGATGCCAAGGCTTACTGATCTGTCTGTCAAAACCAAAGATGTCTGGGAAATCCCTCGAGAATCCCTGCAGTTGATCAAGAGACTGGGAAATGGGCAGTTTGGGGAAGTATGGATGGGTATGCTGAGATTCAATTACTCTCTTATTAGCTTCCTCGTTTGGGAAATCCCAAACCGCAAAGATGGAAGGTGAGAATAAAGACTTTGTGACAAGAAAGAATTACTCTTCATAAGAAATCCTTTTTTTATTTATTTTAACTTCAAGATTCYGGAATTTCTAGAAAAGAGACAATAAATGGGCGAGGCTGACAGATGGCTCAATTGGTGCTCTTATATGAACTTCAGTTCATAAACCAATAAACAGTAGAGGAAATGTTCCAGCCTGCATAAAATGTCTTGCCCTTCATTTCCAGCTGCAAATATTTGTTGAATGTCGCCCTAAAGGGCAAGTCACCTTCCATCTTTCCTAGTGCATGCATGATTATGGATTATAAGGACTGTGTTTTCTTTATTAATTCCCTTTCCTGTAGAGAAAGCTGATGGTTTGTGTTTTAACTTAACTGTGATTTCATCGAGTTGTGCCCCACAAACTTCTGGATTGGCTAAAGATGCTTGGGAAGTTGCACGTGACACCTTGTTTCTGGATACGAAGCTGGGTCAGGGGTGTTTCGCAGAAGTATGGCTTGGTAAGGCAGAGGGTGCATTTTGTTTTGGCTGTATCTCAAGCCATTGAAAAGACAGTGTTGAACAAAAACGTATATATAGTCACTGGGACAGTGACAACGTGAATAACTAGATGGACACAGGCCATCCTGATTTTCAGGACATGATGATGATACCTTGCAGTTCTCACCTGTTCTACTTCTTGTGGTTAAACACCTGCAGAACAGGAAACCAACACACTGTAAATGTGGTGGTTTTCTAAAAAATGGAAAGGTAAGATTATACATATGGCTATAAAGGAAGAATTTTTTTTTTTTTCACTTACAAGGCCTGAGTTTGATTCCTGGCGAGCTGACTAAAACAAACAAGGGGCTTATTTAACATCTTTGAGCCTAAGTTTTCTCATCTGTAAAATCAGAGTGATATCTACTACATGTGTATGATTGTTGGAAGTATTACCTGGAGCAATATGTTTAAAATCCCTTGCAGATAGTATGTGTTCAGTAGACATGCCTACTTCTGTTTGGTTGCCACTGATTAAGCCAAATGCACTGGACCCTAGAAATTGCTTTTATAATTCCTTTGGGTCAGTTGCAGTTTTGCTTATCCTGTACTTACACCTCATCCAAAAATGACTATAGGTAAAACACGATTAAAGATTAGAGAATCCTTCTTCCTCCTTCCTTAGAGTCTGTTAAAAATGATATAAATAGATACCTGTGGCTATGTACAATTCAGGTCTTTTTAATCTGCATTTTAAAAGTCAATGCATCCAGGCTTGGTGGTACACACCTGTCATCCCAGTGACTTGGGAAGCTAAGACAGAAAGATAAAAAAGGGCTGAGGATGTGGCTTCGTAGTTGAGCGCCCCAGCTTCAATCCCTACTACCGCCTCGCAAAAAAAAAAAAAAATGTTAATGTAGATAAAACAAGACTTGGCAAATAGTAAGTACTATACAGATATACATACTTGGATAGACAGATGAATAGTAGAAATACGCTCGGACATACACAGATGTGTGTTTCTATTATCCATCCATATATCCCTCTCCCAAGTCACTAGGAACCCTTATTATTGTATCCATCTCTCTCTGGACTCTATCTTAACTATTCTAAGACAAATTTATATGATCTTCTCCCTTATATACTCAATTCACAATTGGAGTTATGGGTCCTAATTGGATCCTATAAGAAAATTTATTTTTAAATTTTATAATTATCAACAATAAATCAGTACTCAGACCACTAAGATTTTCTTGCCCATGAAACATAAAACAGCATGTCATCATAATTGGAATGGATGCATCTGTAGTTTCCCAGGTGTTATTAGAGAGGAAGATCTCACTTTACTTAAATTTAGGGGTGCTAGCATGTAAATCTCAAAGATCACTTACAAATTGTCAAGTTTTCCATTAATACTTACTGGTAAATATTTTATGAGATTTTTTTAAGTCTCATGTTATAATTATATGAACCATGTTTATAACAGGATAAGGAGAATTGTCCCAATTTACAGAATTCTTAGATCCTAAAGTCATAGATTAAATACAAAAATAAATCTTAATATAAACCTGTCTTTCCAATAGAGAATAGCAATCTAAATTAGCAGATTTTTCTTTTCCCTTTATAAAATTACCCTTCAAAGCCTTAGGACTAACAATGGAATACACATAAAACCCAGCATTTTGTTTTATTTTTTAATTTGGGAGCTGAAAGACACTCAAAAGATAATCCAGTTCCATACTTGTGTTTTACAGATGAGGTAACGGATCTCAATCATAAACCAGGCCTTGGATCAGCTAGTTTTTAACATGGGAAGCTTAAGTATTTCTGTTCTTTGTTAGCTGCTGTTTAAGTTCCCTAGTCTTCTGGATAGAAACCATCATTCTTGTTGTGGCTGACCATCAGTATACCTGAGGAATTTGTCTTACCTGAGAAAGTTTTGGCAAGGAGACCTTCAGCTCCTTGCCAATGCTTTTGTGCATGCTTGGCTCAGTAGTTCCAGGACTCAGTCAAGTAGCTCATCCATTGCAGACAGTCAAAAGTCYGTCTCAAGTCAGTTTCCAAGCACCCTCAGTATGTTACCACATTTTTTTAATGGCGCACCCATAAAATGGAACTTAACCAGATTTTTTCCATGTTTCTCTATGAACTCAAGGATGGCTATTGGATGGCTAGACCTGTTTTAAACCCTGGACTTTTATCACTGTAAACAAGAGTCCAGAGCTTTGGTATATATTTGTAATCATATGCCCAAGTGAAAAAAAAAGTAAATACTATGCAACAAAATAGAAAAAACTAAATAAATAATTTAATATATCCATCGCCATTAAAAAAAAAAAAACTCATTTCTTTGTTAAAATACTTGACTGAATCCTTGCAATTGACTTTATCACAAAAACAATGAGGTTTTTTTAAAAACTTAAAATCTAACTTTATGCATGTAGCTATTAGTCAAAAACTCTGGGTTTTTTTTGTTTTGTTTTGTTTTGTTTTTTTGCCATCAGAAGAGGATTTTGAATTTGACTTAATATTGTGGGATGTTTGTAGGTACCTGGAATGGAAACACAAAAGTAGCCATAAAGACTCTTAAACCAGGCACAATGTCCCCCGAATCATTCCTTGAGGAAGCGCAGATCATGAAGAAGTTGAAGCATGACAAGTTGGTCCAGCTGTACGCTGTGGTGTCTGAAGAACCCATCTACATCGTCACCGAGTATATGAATAAAGGTCGGCAACGCTTCTCCAGCTCCCAGTTACTTCTAGGGGCTGTCTTAAGAGAGGAAAATGGATCTGCCTTTTTTTGTTTTTTTCCCTGATTTTTGCATGATCTAGTATTCTGGCCAGGAAACATGAGTTGTGTGCTTAAAATATTTTTAAAACCGACTAACCTTGAGTTTGCCCCCAAATCTTTGTGAAATGCAGTGCCTTTTGTGTGTTGCACATGTCAGTAATTGAAGTTCTTCTCCATAATTAAAGCATTCACTTTAATATCAGGAGTGATGTAGAGACTATGATAATTTACAGTGATTTTGCATGCAGCAGCTTCTGTTAAATTTCCTTTTTGTAGGTCTAAACGATAAATATCTTATCTGGGGATGGGGATATAGCTCAATTGGTAGAGTGCTTGCCTCACAAGCATAAGGATCTGGATTTGATCCCCAGCATCACACACACCCCCAAAAACTAGAAATCGTATCTGGGCTAAGTTTAATTTCTACCATTTCAACATCTTTTTTCCCCCCAGTTCTCCACTTAAATAACAGATGAAGAAATGGCATGTATTTTATTCCCCCTCTTTCTCCATAACCCCCCCATTTTGTGTGTGTGTGTGTGTGTGTGTGTGTGTGTGTGTGTGTGTCTTTATAATCAAACCAGCATTGTTGGGGATAAGGCCAGAGATCACTTTGTTTTGGAAAAACAGATGAATCAAACAAGAAACAACCATAAAAGGCTATGCATTGTACAACAGAGGACACCAGTGTAATTTTTCTCTTCCACGTAGTTTCTTTTAAAATATAATTGGAATTTTTTCCTGGCAGATTGTTTGTCCTTTGTATCCAGGGTTATTTTGTAAATAACTTTGTGATTAAAGCATTAAAAAAAAATCACTGATGGCCATCATGAGCTGTAGCTTCTGCAAATGATTATTTCTGCCTTAGTGTTAATTCTGGGCTTCCCCAGGCTGGGTTACAATAGCAGCTCTGAAGCGCCAGCTATTTTGTTTCAGATGTCTGCTTTAAGGCTTGGCCAGCTGTGATCTCACTAGGCGGAGCTACCTGCTCCACCCATGTTCCTCATATATTCTTTTCTGGATTTAAAATCTATACATAAGATAGGCCAGTGAATCTCAGCATAGGTTTTTAGGCCCAGAGTTCAAAATTTCTGATTTGCTACATCTGGGACAGGTCCTAAGAATTTGCATTTCTAGCAAGTTTTCCTGGTGATGCCATTGCTGCTGGTCCCAGGACCATAGTTTTAGACTTCTCAGCTGGACTGCATTTCCCCCACATCACTCTTTTGTGCAGAGCTGATTGGTGTATGAGCATGCAGGGGTACAGTTCCTCATGTATCCCTCTTTGTGACATTAAGGGAGATTGAGTTCCCTTTCTTCTGGCTTTATCACATTTTTGTTGCCTTAGAAATCAAATCATTGCTGTTTGTTTTTAAAAGGTAAAACCTGCTTCTCAATGCATAGAATTTTTTCCACCCTATTTTRTATATATATATATATAACTTTTTTTCCCTTGAGGGCATCATTCTAATCAACTTCCATTTACTTACAGTAAAACCAAATACAGCCCTCCATCAAGAACTCTGTCTTTCAGTGTAAACTGAAATGGTTTTATGTTTTGTTCATAGGAAGTTTACTTGATTTCTTAAAAGACGGTGAAGGAAGAGCTCTGAAATTACCAAATCTTGTGGACATGGCAGCACAGGTAGGCCCAGGGGACTTGGTTCTTGTGGTGGATGTAGCGACGTGTAAGCACATTGCATTGTGGTGTAACTCACGTGCCTCTTCCTGGGTTCCACAGGTTGCTGCAGGAATGGCTTACATTGAGCGCATGAATTATATCCACAGAGATCTGCGGTCAGCAAACATTCTAGTAGGGAATGGACTAATTTGCAAGATTGCTGACTTTGGATTGGCCCGGTTGATTGAAGACAACGAGTACACAGCGAGACAAGGTGGGCATTCAGATGACAGTGGCTTCCTGATTGCAACTTTACAAACACTCACTTCCTGCACAACCCTTCCTTTTTACCATCCTTTCCTGCAAAACATATTTGAAAGGTCATCCTCAAACTGGATTTTTTTTCTCTTTGATCTGGCAGGAATTTGATAGCTCTGCTGGTGGGAGATTGAAGTGGGTTCAGTAGATGGATGAGATATTGCTTTTCAGTCAGTAGATGTCCACTCCTTTGGTCTTCCTGGTTCATGCCACCATCCTCACAGCATCCAAGTCCAGGAGACTGTGCTTTCTGAGAAAGAGGGCTATGGGAAGCCAAGGGGTCAGTCAAGTTATAGCTCATTCCTCAACCGATCTAAATCTGAGCAGAAAACAGGAAGTATACTCAAAGTGGAGAACTTAATAAAATTGTGTCTTTTAAAAAGGAAAAGGAAGGATTTAGGAAAACCAACAAGGTCTGGTGAGGTGCCTTGGAGCTAGTAACAGCAGCAGAGCCAGGGCCTGAGAAGCAAGAGGCAGGGAGTGGCAGCAGAGGTCAGAGAGAGAGAGCCTCCTGGTAGAGAGGTAGCAGGGATACTAGGGCATTAATACCAGCTTCAGGTCCCCTGCAGGCCCAGGCAGAAGCCAGAGGTCAAAGGAGCTTAGTCCTGAATCCTTATGGAGCAAGGGTGGAAAGGAGGGCTGGAGGGACTATGGAAGGTAACATCATAGTCCCTCAAAAAGCCCCATCTTCTTTCATCATTTGCCTCCCCTGCCCCCTGCAAAAATTCATGGAAATCAACCTTTAAGCAAAATACATCCCAAACCAGCAGCCACATCAGTGGGGCAGCATTTCAGGTGCTATTGGAGCACCAGATGCCAGGAAGGAGATCCCAGGGATATTTTCTGTTGTCCCAATTTTCACCTAAGCACACACCAGGAAAATGTGTGGAATTAAGTGGACAATTTGCAATCAGATGAAGGCTCCTGTGTAGATGATCATGCTTGTAACTGGGGAAGGGGCAGCTTGCATTGCCATCGTTAGCCAAAGCCTGGTCATTCTGTGCAAGGCTGGGCAATGCCTGGAATATGTTATACTAAGGTGATGCTTTCTGCTGAATTTCATAGTTCTTCCTTTCCTTCTTCTCCTTCTGGTTTTTTTTTTTTTTTTTTTTTTTTTTTTTTTTTTTTTTTTTTTTTTTTTTTTTTTTGGTCCTGGGGATTGAACTCAGGGGCACTTAGCCACTGAGCCACATCCCCAGCAATTTTTTTTATTATTATTATTGTTATTTAGAGACAAGATCTCACTGAGCCTTGCTATATTGCTGAAGCTGGCTTCAAATTCACAATCCTCCTGCCTCAGTCTCCTGAGCTGTTGGGATTGCAGGTGTGCACGACCGCACCCTGCTTCCTTTTGATTCTTCATGCCAATTTCCTCCTCTCTTTATTTGACTCTGAGGATGGAAATGTTTTCAGCAGTCTCAAGTGATAAGGGAAAATGTTAAACTAAGACCCTGGCTGGTACAGAGACTGTCCAAATGCTAGTTACATGTGGGTCAGATAGCTCAGCTATTTGAATTTCCCCAGCACGCAGCAAGTCTTGTCCTGGAGCCAAATGCCCGCACAGCGAGCGCACACACAGATGGTGCGCCGTATCTCTCATCAAAGACACCCGTAGCCTTGATTGGCACTGGCAGGGCAGAGAGGAATGTGGGCATGTTTTTTAGGTAAGGTGAGCTGAGGGATGATCGGAGCGACCATCATCTGAGAGCTGGTCCTGAGTGAGCCCCTCAGCTGGAAGGACAGGGGAACCTGGATACGTGGTTCAGTAAAGGGTAGGCTCCTGGGACTGAATGGAGTCCCAGGGCCAGAGCTGTTTCTTCCCTTTAACCAGACTTTAGACTCCACAGTTTGTGTTTAACACTTTCAAACCATCAAAAAACGAGAAGGTTCAGGACCAGGAAAGCCTATATGCTGGCAGATTGCTGTGCATAGGGCCTGAGTAGTTCGTTCAAGAGTCGTTCGACCAGGTAAAGTTCCTCAGGATGTGGCCCTGGGTGATTGGCACCCCTCACCACTTCCTTTCCATCAGGCTCCTGCACTCAGCCTTGACCCCACAGCCTTCCTCCCCTGCCCCCGTGTCTCTGCCCCAATGCCTTCCTGCCCTTCCTCAGCCCCACTGTCTCACAGCCCTCTGAAGTCCTTCACAAAGCCCAGCCTCAACCCCTGTGTTCCACATTTCCTTTACATAATTTCCAAATGGAAGGTTCCATCCTTCCCTGAACACTTAGAACACTTTTTTCCTTCTTTCATTCCTGTCCTAAACAACTTCAAATTCTAGAAAGAGATAAGTAAAAAGAATCCAAAAGAACTGGAGAACTGAACTGGGGGCAAAAAGTAAAGCCAGAGAAGCTCCAGGATTTCCAGAGAACAAAAGAAATGCTCTCCTGCAGCTGAGGGAAAGGAAGAACAGGGGCATGTAGGGAATACCTCCATGCCCAGACTGCAAGGGAAAGGCTAAGGAACCTGGAGCAAAGCAACAGAAATAGATTCAGAGGGGTTAAGTCCTTTGTGCAAAGTCACACAGCAATTAAAATGGCAGAGCCAGTAGGGCTCACCTTACTGCATGCATCCTCTTAAGCTATGCGTAAGACAGTGATTAAAAGAATAGAAAGTAGAAATGGAAAGGATTAGTCGTAAGTCCCTTTTCCCCTTTATTTTATGGCAAAGTTTTTAAGGGGCTCCTTCTAATGTGCATGTGTGTGGGGATTAGAGAGACTTTCGTTTTTCAGTACTGGGACAACCCGGTTATTTATCAATTTCCTCCTGAGGGTCTGCTCTACCCCGGCCTCTTCAGGAGGCAGAAAGGGCCTGTGTGTATCTGCTGGTGTGCTCTGCAGATGGCATGTGTGCTGCATGCTGAAGCTTTTACCAGGGATTAATCAGCTTCTCCAGACAGCTGGTCCATGTGCCTAATAATATTTGCAAGTCGGGTTTTATGTTACCCGCAGGCCACAGCCCCGCCACATCTTGATTATGGGAGTGCAGGCAGTGTTCAGAAACATGTGCCAAACTCAGATATTTTAAGACCGCGAATGACAATTGTTTGCAAAACAGTTGTGAGTCTTCCATCTCAGGGTGCACTGAAATGTCTGTCACCCCCACCCCCACCCCCAGGCGAAGGTATGACAGCACAGTGTATGTTGTGGTTAGAATTCGAAGCTGTTATGCAGTCTTTCATGTGCTCCTTACCTCCTGTCACCCCTTCCTGCCCCTGACTGTGAGCAGAAGCCCCATGTCAGAGAGGAGGTCAAGGCCAGGCCTATCCTGTGAGGGTGGTCCATCACTGACAGCATTATAGAAACAACACGAAATATAGTCTCAGTTACCTGGATGTCTCACCCAATTGGAGCAGATAGTTCTTCTTTAGCCATAAACTCTGCTAAATTCTGTCCATTTGGAGTCTTGTTATTGGGTGCTGTCTATAAAAAGAATGTGTTAGTAGCTGCTGATATAAAGAAGCACGGTTTATGCAGACCTATAGTTCCAGCTACTAGGGAGGCTGGTGCAAGAGGATCACTTGAGCAAAGAGAGCAAGACCCTATCTCAAAAAAATAAAATAAAGATGCCTGAGACCACCCAGGGTCACAGCTAGCCAATGTGTAGAGGAACTCATCAAAGCCTTAAAGTCAGACAGAACAGGTTTAACTTTCCCACAGTGGATTTGCTTATGTGTAAAATGGAAATATATCTTACCTGCTTTATGGATTTTTGCAAAGATTAAATGAAATAATGCATGCACAGTGTTTCACCCAGTGCCCAGCACAAAGACAGAGGTAAATAATATTGCTTGTTACTGTTCTGTTTTGTTTTACACAAGGCTAGATTACTGCAGAATAAATAAACAAATGGACTGTAGATACATTGGAAAGGCTCAAACACTATTTAGAAAAGAAAAAAGGAGCCAGATAATTCCCAGGGAGTCAAATGAAGGTAATTGTGAGAATGGAATGACCAACAACAGAAATGAGCAAGTCGGAAGAAGATCTTACTTTCAGAGAAAGAGGTTGAGTTTGGTTTGGGGTGTGTTGAGTTTGAGGTGACTGTGGTGGCACATACAAGCCCAGAGAGGTCAGCAGGGTGTCCTCACAGCCTCCTCCCTGCCACAGCTCCCAGAACCCTTGCAGAGCTAACCAAAGCCCCCACCTGGGCCATGGGCACAGGGGAGCCTGCTGTGGCCCTCACTCTCCGCCCATTCCCTGGGGTCACCGGCATGCTTCTCCCCAGGACCTCAGGCCACCATCAGTTCCTTCCCATGGCAGCTGAGAAGCAGTGGCAAGCCCTCCACAGAATTGCTCTTTCCTCCTGGGCTTTCCTGCAGCTCTGTGCTGACTAGTCTCTGTTTAAACCTAACAAGTACAGGTAGACCTGGCCTGTGTGTAAGAATCACTTGCTTTTCTGGACACTTTCATGTTCTTTTTGAGCCTCAACATTCATACAGTACAAGGAACAAATCTGAAGTTTGCAGCTGGGTGCATCTTCACTTGTGTGTGCGCCTGAAACCAGACATAAAGAAAGACGTGCCCCAGCAGGCCCCTCAGTCCCACAGGCAGCCAGTAGCCACCCCCAGAGGGAGCCTGTTTTCCCTCCACTACTATAGATTTCCTTTTGCTGTAAGTGAACTCCATCTGCACGAATCGTGTGGCGTTCCTCCTCTTTCGTTTGGCTTCTTTCCCACCCTTATGTTGGGAGATGCAGCCGTGTTGCCTTGTGGCCCAGCATCTCTTCCCCCTTCCCCACAGACATGGCGTCGCTCACCCATCCTGCTGTGGATGACCATGGGGGCCCCTTCCCTCTGGGGCCACGTTCAACAGGGCTACAGGGTGTGGACACTTTCCCTCCTGTCTGGGGGTCCGCCCCTGGGGTGGAAGCACTAGTCTCAGGATAGGCCGAGGGGAGCCTCACAGACTCGGGACACACAGTACCTGTGCCGCTTCACAGTGTTGTGCTTCCCTCCCC